AAACCTAACCATTTTATAGCAAATATAAAAATATATAAAACATAATTGACTGAAATAAGAAAGGACATTACCATTTTGGTAACAATAAATAGGGCTTTTTTCTATTTAAACGATTTTAGAAAAGGTTCAATCAATTCACACTTGATTTAACTATTCACACTTTATATCATCGCCACAATATGTGTTGTCAATATCACCTAGCCCTAACTTGCAGTAATGCTTTAAACACATTTGACAAGCTAGTTGATAAAAAAACAATAACCGATTAACTATCAAAACTGATTGGCTAACACATTTTTATTATTGCATGTTAACTGAAAACAAATCTGAATGATGCACTATTTTAACTTTAATCAGCATGTACAATTGACCATGACATCCCCACCTTATCTTATTTAAATAAAGGCTTTAAAAGTACAAAATAGTATTTTGTATTTCAAATATGTATTTTAAATACATGTATCTGAAATACTGCCCATCCCTGGCAATCACCAACCAGCTTTTTAATGGGAATCATACAGACACATGGTCTATGCCCCATTTTCTTCAACATTTGGAACACGTGATCATATTTTCCAGGTTCCTCATGTACCAGACGCTCCAACCTACTAATAAAAGTGGATCAAGAAGCAAGAGACCCTTTAAAGCGCTGGATCAGAGTCTCTTAATGGCTAGAAAGAATGTTCAGCATTCAAAAAACAAAAGCAATGACATCACTGTATTATTTTCATACAGAAATGTGTGTGGATATTTAAACATACACCGTTTTTAAGGACATAAACAACAACAAAGGACAGCTTGTCTGGAACTGAAGCATTTCAAGTTGTCACACTTTTATAATCCAGAACTTCGGAAACAAACTGAGTAGTGCAAACTTTTGAGTAGGTAAAACAGAGCACATATGATATATACAAAAATGAAAAATAAACAATGAGTATCATTACCGGATCTTTAAAACTTATCTTAAAGGGTTAAATAGGCTACTCTTTTACTCTTACTCAAGTAGTTTTTTGGACAAGTACTTTTACTCTACTCACACTACATTTTTTGGAAGGTAATGGTACTTTTACTTGAGTATATTTTTTCAGTACTCTTTCCACCACTGGTTGTGATAGTCTAAAATGGCAGAAGACATAACTCGGGGGAGAAGAATTGTTGAATAAATTATGTTATTTTTGTTGTCTTTGCGCTCAAAAAGTATTCTCGTAGCTTTGCAAAACTGAAGTTGAGCCACTGATGTCACATGGACTGTTTTACCGATGTCCTTACTATGTTTCTGGACCTGGGAACATTACAGCAGCGTTGCTGTCTATGCAGGGTCTGAGAGCTCTCACATTTCATCAAAAATATCTTAATTTGTGTTCCGAAGATGAACGAAGGTCTTACAGGTATGGAACGACATGAGGGTGAGTAATTAATGACAGAATTTTCATTTTTGGGTGAATTATCCCTTTAAAAGACATCAAATATTTACTTGTACCTTATGTGTACCTTTATTTTGTACACACTGAGTGTGTCAATGTGATGAAAGCCTATCATAGTTTTGATGCTTATTTCTTTAGGGGAAAAGTCTGGAATATTTTATTATTCCCATTACAGTTAACACTGCAAGTGACTTATGTAGCTTTATTCAGCCTGGTCTCGTTTTTTATAAGTAGGTATTAGTACATATAGTTTACAAGCAAAAAACATTTTTGTACATTTTTATTGATGCTGAAACATACTATTTGGATATTAGTATCAATGCGATTTTATAATTTGATCGATGAGCGATTTAGATTTTTAGACACCTTAACTTACCCCCAAACCTAACCATTTTATAGCAAATATAAAAATATATAAAACATAATTGACTGAAATAAGAAAGGACATTACCATTTTGGTAACAATATAGCATTAAAAGGATATTTTTATAGTTGCTAATCCCACTCCTACCTCAAACCTAACCATAACTATTTCTTAAAAATATAAATAGTATAAAGAAAAACCATGACAGAAAGATAAGTGCAATCACAATAATTTATTTATTGCTAAAATGTCAACAGCAGCACAAAAAGTAATCCAAATGATGAGGCGTTTTGCAGTCGCATTCCTCTCTGGTGGAATACGGTAGGTTTGTGTGAGGTGCAGAGCATATTTTAAGTTGTTAATCTCTGAAAATATTATGCAGATTATTGTCCCGATCCACTCAGCATGCATTTCTCATTAAAACACACCTCACCAGAAACACGGCAAGTATCAATCTGTGACAAAGCAGGCGAGAGCCAATGAGCGTTCAATTTTCCTGTTGTCACAGCATATCGGAGAAAACGACTTTGTGTCCCACGGCAAACAAATTAAACATTACATGATAAGTAATGATTAAACGATTGCAGAAATGTTATTCATTTTGAGGGTTTAAAGTGTAGTCTTGTTGAACATTGTATATTCTTCGAAACGGGTTGGCAGCAGAAATCAAACAGAACAGAACGAAATGTTATCATTTCATATTAAGTAAATGAGTAAACTTAATTTAATAATGCAATTGAAAACATAATTCCACTGATATGACTGAACTGAATACAATACAACATAAAAGGTTGATGCCGCGATTTCAATATTCATAAGGATTCATTTGTAAGTCTGTAAAGTTGTTCATACGTAAAAAATTTACATTTTAGGTTTCGTCACTATGTCAGTATTCTACATTAAAATGCTGTAAATATGTCAGCATTGTATGTTAAGATGCTCAAAAAATGTCAGTAGTATGTCAATAGTAGTATCAGTAGTACATTTAGTGTCTGTAAAAACGCAAGTACATGTATGTTTTGTTGAACCACATTTTACCTAAAATACATAGAAATTCTCATGAGATCACGTTGCTTTATCACCCACTTTATGAGAGGGATCTAAAGTTTACTTTTAAAACCTGTGAATTAATATTTTGACTTATAGCCAGCTAAACTAAATTCTGTTCATGTAACAGAAATGGAATTATTTTTTTACATGTCCTACAATTGTTACTGTACACACATAGCCATCTTCAATGCTACAGTTAATTCCATTACAGCGTCCATTTGTTGTTTCATTTTCAGAAATCTACAGACATTATTTGTTTTGTTAGATCCAGGCATTCAGGGAGCATCTAGCCACAGATGACATGGTCCAAATTTCAATGCTGCTATTTGATGATAATTATATTAATATTGCTGCTACAAGTCTATAAATGAAGTGTCACCCGCTGTTGTTTTGAATGAGTTTGACAACTAACTGCAAATGTTCCAAATATGTCACTTCCCAAACCAATGAATGTCATTGTGAAATGGTCTAGCTTGCAAAGATGATGTTGCATTGCAATCATTGCATTGCGTTGCACATCATTACTTCAGTAAAGGCAAATCTGATTTTTTCTTTTACTATCTATCATTATTTATACTTTCATTCATGTAGTTCTTAAATCTGTGTCTTTCTACATTTGATCGCTCTTAGATTCTCATCAAATCCTTTCAGTGATTCTTCTTGGATTCTGCTTTTAATCCAAGGGAATAATATTTAATAAGACATATATTATGTCATATATCTTCAGCATATATTTACTCTTAATTGTGATACAAGAGTCCACAAAATATATCTATATTGTTTCTTGCTGTGTAATTCTTCTGTTGTGTACTGTCAATAAATTGACAGATTTTATTTATTTATTTATAACTCTACTTTTATTAAAGTGGGGTAGAGAAGAAAAAAACAATAAGGGCATTTGGGCTGATCAACATCCCTGACATCCTGAGAAAATGATTAGAGGGGCTTGCATGTCATGTACATCTCATGGTTGCATGGACAACCAGTTTTGTCCATCCTAATTAACGTCACCTGCTTTGAGTGAACTGTGTGAGGGTTCCCTTTATACTGCTTACTCATAATTAACTTAAGTTCCTGGTTTTAATTAAAGATCAGGGATTCACTGGTGGTTAAGGCCAATCATCACAGTGACAATACCCAATGTTTCTAACTGCAGTGGCTTAGAATAGGCATTCAGTTAGATGTCCAGGGAATACAGTATGCTCAATAGGGGCTGTATTAATGAAGGAAGGAAGGCAGGCAATATCTCGAAATCGGAACAGGAAACTGTACAAACGGAAAGGAAGCGGTTATCGAAGTAAAGCAGGTGTCACAAGACGATACTACTATAGTGTCTATATGAGAGGTTTGAGTAAGAGGTCGTATCTGACAGGAGATTTATAGCCTCTTACTTCATTCAAGACCATTAAATGATTATTTGATATTTGAGTGGCTGCTCAAACATGTTCAAACTGAATAGCTGAGAATGAATGGAGCGAATGTACCATTCTTGTGATGAAATGTTTGCAAAATATTTGCAGTTTCTCCCATTGTTATGCTTTTTTTTTTTCTATTATACAGCTGCCACAACTGTTGGCATTTGTTAATGAATTAATGAACAAATGAATGATGATAATAATAATAATAATAATAATAATAATAATAATAACAACAATAAAACAGGATCCCAATATCTTGTTTTATGTAATGTTGCTCCTAAAATCTGCTTCTCAAAACACCTACATCTTTAAAGCCTCTTTCCTGGTGACCATTTCTCTTTGATAGATTATCTTTGATATCTTTGATTCATTGACTCCTAGTGAAACCTATAAGCTGGGCATCCAAGGAATCTTATAGATTCAAAAAGATGAAAATGCAACACCTACAATGTGAACATGCTGTGTGATATTATATACAGTTTTATTTGCAAGAATATTGAAACGTACCAAACATGATATGTATTATGTATAGTTTATATATATATATATATATACCTGAAAGACTAGTTGTTAAAGTAGTATTATTTGGACCTGAACAGCTTGTGCTCCCACTAGCCTTGCAGTCTAAGGATCCTATATATCATTGCCCAGAGAGCATTTGTATAAAATGCATACAACATACTTATGTGGCCTATATTTTTGTCTCACCCTCATTTTGTATGCACTCAATCCTTTTTTTCTTAGACATATCCATTAGCCTGCTGTCATTGGTGGTGACTGCTTGTGGCTTGGCCCTATTTGGTGTCTCTCTCTTCGTTTCATGGAAACTGTGCTGGATTCCATGGCGCGAGCGAAGCCTCTCTCCAGGCACCAAGGAGGGTCATCCTGACCCCCCTCATCCTCCTCCTCCACCCCTTCAACCCCAGTCCATCTATACCGAAGTGGACGCCACCCTCGACCGCCGGAGTAATGCCCGAAGTTCAGTGGTAAAAGAGACTACTGTGCCGCCCACTCCGGTCTCTCCAGCGGCTCCAGGATCTCCTCCTGCAATGCCAGTGCCTGAGGCAGCCCTCAAAATAAGCCACACTTCACCTGATATTCCGCTGGAGGTGGAGTCTAAGACTCAAGAGAATGGTGTCCATGGCAACTCACGCATGCAGAGGCAAATCACGGATCACTCCTCGACCTGTGTCAGGTAAGTCAACCTTCTATAATTACTTTAATATATTCTGGTAAAATGTCAGTCTCTCAACAATAGGACTGGCTGAGAGGTCAAGTTGATGTCTAATCAGAGTTTATCACTAAGTGCCTCTGCAGTACAGGACACTGACCTCATAAAGATGCAGTTTTAATTTTAAAGTTGGACAATTTTAAGGCCATAGGTTTGCAGTGTTTTCTTGCACATTTTAAAATTACAGCATAAAATGTCAAAAACATTCCTGGATAAGGAAGATATCCATTCTTTTGAAACAACCTACAGCTGTTTATAATTAACTATATTACTTAAAAGAAGAATACCTCATCTAATTTTTAATATTAAAAATCGTAACTAGTTCCTTAACATTTTTGTCTTTTATAATATTGCTTTTGTTGCCATCGTGTTAACAAATTAAAGGGATAGTTCACCTAAAATTAAAATTATGTCATCATTTACTCACCCTCCACTTGTTCCAAACCTGTATGCGTTTCTTTATTCTGAAACACAAAAGAAGATGTTTTGAAGAATGTTGGTAACCAAACAGTTGACGGTAGGCATTGACTTCCATAGTATTGTTTTCTAAAAACTGTTTCTTAAAATTCTTAAAAAAAATAATAAAATCTTCCTTTATTTTCAATAGCTGTAGAACAAAACTTGAGGGTACGTAAATAAAGACAACATTTTATTTTTGGTGTGAACTGTCCCTTTAAGCCACAATGAGATTGTGTGGTAAAGGGAATATGGCCACGACTAAGGGTGTTCCTAGGCACAATGTGAGTTAATCCCTTTTACATTGGTAAAGTGACACTATAAAACAGATTTCAATTCTGGTTCTGATCTGTCAGTGGATTATTTTGCTTCATCACTAATTTGGCAAAATTTTTTTATGATGGTGTATCAAAGGCTTGACTGAAAGTATTTATTTGGCATTAGATATTTAATTTATTTATTTTACTCATATCCAGTATTATTGTCTTTAACTCCCACTATATGTCATCAGGCAAAGTTCAATTCGCCGTCAGATGAACCAATCGAACCCTGACTTCACAGTAACCCAGTTCCAGAGGCAGGACTCTCTGACTGGCATGAGTCTGGGCCAGCTAAAACCAGAACTCTACAAACAACGATCCCTAGATGTCGAGGACAACCGAAGCAGTCGAGTGGGCAGCTGTGGACGCCTCCACTTTATTCTTAAATATGACTGTGACCTGGAGCAGCTCATTGTCAAGATTCACCGAGCCCAAGACCTCCCTGCCAAGGACTTTTCCGGAACCTCTGACCCATATGTGAAAATCTACCTTCTTCCAGACCGCAAAACCAAGCACCAGACCAAGGTGCATCGTAAGACTTTAAACCCTGTATTTGATGAGGTCTTCCTCTTCCCTGTGGCGTATGCGGACCTGCCCACAAGGAAGCTGCACTTCAGCGTCTACTATTTTGATCGTTTTTCACGCCACAATATTATTGGGCAGGTGGTGGTTGAGAATTTTCTGGATCTAGTAGACTTTCCTAGGGAGACGAAACTCTGCAGGGATATCCAGTATGTGTCCTCGGTGAGTAGATTTTTCATGTTTCTGTTAAAAGGTAAATTCTTACAGATAAGAATAAATCTGAACGCAAATAGACCTCAAAACATTTAAGAGTCAATTGAGAGATTCAGAGAATTTGTGTGACCAACTTAAATGTGAGCAAAATCTGCATGGGGGAACTTTTTCACCCGTCACATCAAACTCCCAATCATACTGATTCCTATTAAAATAAATATAATTCTGCCCTGAAATTTCACAGAGCAATGGTAAATGTGACCGTGACTCTTTTGGACATGACCCACATCTTTTTTATGTATTATGTTGTTGTGTCACACATTTCCTACTCATTCCATGGCCGATATTTAGATCACTGTTCTTACATTCAGTCAGTGGTGGAAAGAGTACTGAAAAAATATACTCAAGTAAAAGTACGATTACCTTCCAAAAAATGTAGTGTGAGTAGAGTAAAGGTACTTGTCCAAAAAACTACTTGAGTAAGAGTAAAAGAGTAGCCTATTTAAAAGTACTCATGAGTATTGAGTATTGAGTACTGAGCTGTGGATTCTACCCCCTCATAATAAACACTGTACATTTGATACATTTTAAAAACGTTGTACATTCTGCCAACTCTTTAAAATACATCAAAACAGCACGGAAACAGTATTCAGTTGAAGAAAAGATTAAAGTTATTCTCAGTACAATCATCCCCGTTTAAATCATAAAGTTTGAAAAAATAGATTTAAAATCATGTGTAAGGCCACTGAGA